GCAATTAGCAATGAAGTTGGCATAAAACTGAACTTGACAAAAACAAAAACTATGTATAACGGGCTAGTCGATGTCCAAGATGTAATACTGAACAACACTGCACTTGAGACAGTAGACGAGTATGTATACCTGGGACAATTAATACATAAATCTGTCTCCTTACTTCCAGAAATCAACAGAAGAATGAAACCAGCTTGGACGTCTTTTGGTAGAAATTCAGTTATATTCACATCGAAGATGCTAATCATCATCATCATCATCATTAGTGGCATTACAGCTCGTTATGAGCCAAAGCTTTCTTCAGAACAATCTTCCATTCGTCCCTGTCTCTGGCAACTCTTCTCCATGCTTTAACTCCGATGGATTTTAGATCATCCTCTATGTTATCTTGATACCTAAGTTTTGGTCTTCCTCTGGATCGTCTTCCCACTGGTCCTCTTCAGTCGAAAATTTTTCTGATTGTTGCATCTTCATCTCGCCTAATTACATGTCCTATCCATCGAAGGCATGCTAATTTAATAGATTTTACAACGTCAGGTTCCCCAAAACTTCTGTATAACTCAAAGTTGCAGCCCCTACGCCACAAACCCTGTTCTTGGACTCCTCCATATATTTTCCTTGAAGATATGAAGAATGAATGATAGGGGCTACACCTAATTGAATATGCTGAGAATGATGATTATTAAAGTTCTAAGGTGAACTGCGATCAACACAAAGTACTTATTACACCAAGCAAAATGTGGTTTATTGAAAAAAAAAACAATGAATAAGTGCAATAATTATCATACCTTTCTTTTCACTTCAGATATGTCATCGTAGGAAACCCACTGGTTTCCATGGGTAGCGTACGGCCCAATTCTTCCTTCAGGATCCCTGGTTACTGTCCATCCCTGTCTTCGAACTCTTTCGCAAATCTAAGAAAACAAGAAAACATCACAAAAAAAATATTTCATTTTTCTTTCGGCAAAAAAAGTTTAATAATATACAATGCAAATATCGAGCACAGTATTAATTTAATCTTGCCCAAGTACTTTCGATCACTAGATCATCTTCAGGGGCATCTAAAATAAGCCAAGAAACGTTTTTTTATAACTAAAGAAATTAATTAACTTCGATAAAAACTCGAAGTTTATGATTGATAAAAAGTTTTTATGTGATTAACGTTTATAGACTTACTTCGTCAATTGCGGCCTATCCGACAAGAGTGGAATGTCATAAATATAAAATGGGACATAACAATACACTACACAAAGACAAACAAACACTTTAGGATTTTGAAGATAGGCGAAGCTACATGGTATATAGAAGCAGTAGACAAAATGGCTCACGGTCTAGCGGAAATGTTGAGATGACATGTGACAAATGACAGCTTGGAAAGGGCAGTTACAATCATAGATATGTGATCTGCCAACAAGCTTCATATTCTGGCCTAACACCATCAGAAACGAAGATCTGCTACACCTGACCGAACAAAAGAGAGTACAAAATGAAATTAAGTCCCGAAAGTGGGGTTGGATCGGTCACACACTCCGAAAAAATAGTTCCAGTATCGCAAAGACTGCCCTAGAGTGGCATCCCCACGGGAAAAGAAAAAGAGGTCGCCCAGTACAAACTTGGAGAAGATCCATCATGGACGAGATAGGAGACAAAGGAAAGTCTTGGAATGTGGTAAAGGCCTAGCGCAAATAGAACCCGATGGCGCGTTTTCACTGAAGCTCTATGCTCCACTTAGGAGTTCAAGAACCTTATATATAATACTCGATAATCACGAGTCCCATATTGCAGTTTCCGTGATTGATTTGGAGAAGGAAAATAATATTGTGTTATTAACGTTGCCGCTACATACCTCGCACAGAACTGAACCTCTTGACAGGACTGTTTTTGGACCATACAAAACCTACTACAACACCATAGCTAATGAGTGGATGATGACCGATCCTGGACGTCTTATAAGCTTGTATGATGTAGCTGAACTCGTAGGCAAGACATTTGCAAAAGCATTTACCCTGCAAACATTGTCAAAGGATTTGAAAAAACAGGGATATGACCTGTTAATGAAAATATATTTGGTGACAACGAATATCTGTCGTCCTATGTAAGAAGTCGTCCAAATCCAGAATCAGAAGAGAATCCGAATACGACAACTTGCTCATCAAGCCTTCAACTATCCGCAAATCCATCAACATCAAACTTGACATCGGCACTTCCACTGTAGTCTAATGACAACAAAGCAAATAACGCTGACTTTCAAAAGCCCGTTTGTAGTGCGCCCATATCCCAAAGCCTTAGCTCTTCTCAGAAGGGACTTCAGAAGAAAGCTTCTCAAAAGGGACCAAAGCGTGGTAAAACAAGAATTTTGACAGACACCCGGAGAAAGAGGAACTATTGCAAAGTAAGGTGAAAAAACCAAAGTCAGTCAAAAGGAAGATTCTCTGCGATAGTTCAGATGAATCTGATGAAGAGATGAAAAATATAACAAACGATTCAAGTGACGAGGATTAAGAAACTTTTCTGGCAAACGAAAATGAAAACTATTCATTAGAGCAACAGGAAAGTGAAGAAATACTGAGTTCTTCTAAATTGAAAGAAGGTGATTTTGTTCTCGTAAAATTGGCCAGTAAAAAGAATATTGCACACTTAGTTGCCAAGATAGTTGAGGTTTTAGATGACGAAATGGTCAAATATTTAAAAACAGATATTGGAAACAATAAATGTGTCTATTCGGATGAGGAAGTCTCTTGTGTCTCCGAAGGCGACATAATAAAAAAACTGCCTTCACCAGATTTAGTTGGAACATCACAACGCCAATAAAATTTGATGTCCTTTAATGTTAAATTTGATACATTCAATGTAAAGTAATCATGTTTGTCATCTTATAATTCATGTAATAAATAAGATTCCTTTCATTTGTGTTGTTTCTTCTTAATCGAAGGTAATTTGGTACAGCATAAAGTGGACAAAGGTTCAACAAATTTTGAGCCAAACGACATGAAATTTACCCAAAGGTACAACACTCTCCCCTATCACAGAAATGTCATTTTACAGTCCCAGTCAAAATATCATCGTTTCATTCGTGATCTCGTGAAAGTTCCAGTGACAACTGTTCAATTAAGGTAAGAAGGTACTTTTTGTATAGGGTGCAGCAGATAAACTGAATCATGAAAATTGGAATGAAGGGGTTTTGAAGAGTCACCTTTTTCATGAAAATATTTTCATCTATTTGCTACTTCCGGTTATACCACAAGTTGCTTATAACTTTGTTTTTTTAATGGGACATCCTGTATATTTTTAATTTTTGGAAATACTTACGGCATTCTGAATATTTTTGTCAATGCTTCACTATAGGTACCTATTGTGAACCATTTTTGAGTTATAATGGTTTTTAAATGAAAATTACACATTTCTACCATGTATATAAAGTTGAATATCCGTATAAAAGTTTAAATTCCTTAGGAACTTTACAATGTAAAGTTGTCTTTTTCTTTATACAGGGTGCTTTCAAAATTGACATAAAACGTGTACTCAGTGTTTCTGTACGGAGTAAAAACGTGGACATTAAAGGCGAAAACTCTATCAAAACTTCAGGCTTTTGAGCTATGGTTATACAGAAAGATCCTAAAGATACCATGAACAGACTGTCACCAATGAAAGTATTTTCTTTTAACCTATTCTCTATCCTTCCATTGTTGGAGATAGGTCTACCCCAGTTCTCTCCATCTTTCCCTATCTTGAGCTGTTCTCTGCTATGTGGGACCTCCTTGTTTCCTGATGTCATCTTTCCACCTCATCTGTGGTCTGCCTCTTGATCTCTTTGCATTGTATGGACGCCACTTTCCGATGGCATTGTTCCATCGTTCGTCTTGGAGACGTTCATTGTGTCCAGCCCATTTCCATATTCAGCTTTGCTGCTTGTTATATCGCGTCTACTGTCTTTGTCTGGTTCTGATCCACTGGTTACGTTTTATATCTTTAAGTGATATACCCAACATTTGTCTCTCCATCGCTCTTTGTGCCTTCCTTATCCTATCCAAATTGGCCTGTGTAAATGTCCATGTCTGTACTCCGTAGGTGAGCACCGGTATTATACAGGAGTTATATACCTTGCTTCGTAAGTATAGAGGGATTGTTTGGTTTTTTAGAACGTAAGAAAGTTTGCCGAACGCTGCCCATCCCATTCTTACTCGTCTCGATATTTCGGCTGTTTGATTTTTTCTGTTAGCTCTGATTGCTTGTCCTAGATAGATATACTCATTTACCTGTTGTATTTTTTCTGTTTGTATTTTTATTGCCTCTTGGTCTTCCGTGTTTGTCATTACTTTTGTTTTGTTGAAGTTAATTTTTAGGTCTTTTTGCAGTGATTTTTCATAAAGTTCATTCAGCATTAATTCTAGTTCTTGTCGTTCCGAGGAGATCAGGAGTATATCATCCGCATATCTAAGGTGATTTAGGTACTTTCCGTTAATACATATTCCTCTGTTTTCCCAATCTGTTGATTTTATTATATCTTCTAGGGTCAAGGTTAACAGTTTAGGTGAAATTATATCGCCTTGTCGGACTCCTTGTTTAACTTTTATATTATCCGTTATTAATTTGTCGTCCAGAATTACGGTCATGGTTGCGTTTTGGTAAATATCATGTATCAATATGAAAGTATTACAAACGATGAACTCCATTACTCCAATGAATTTTGCAAGGTAAAATTGAACGAAAAAGGGCCTCAGGACGAAGAAGAATATCCTGGCTTGCTAATCTGAGAGCATGGTATAGAAAGACCTCAACACAGATATTCCGTATAGCAATCAACAAAGTCATCATAGCCAGAATGATCGCCAACGTTCGGAACGGACAGGTACCCCAAGAAGAAGATTTATTGTTATTCTTCTAACAGTCGTTTTGAATAGGTAGGTTTGATATTGAATTCAGTATGAAATGAAAATAGTTAATGTTTTTATGATTCTTTCTTTTCGCACATGCGTATAACTGGTTTATAGCAGTATTACCTAAAAAATACTTACTTCATAAAATGATAAGAAACCTCCTGCTCTAGTGAATTCGCCAGCTTCTCCTGGTCCGTAAGTTTTTTCATTCAAGCCTCTCTTGCCGGAATCGGCCAAACTAAATGACTGGCCATAAAGCGGGAATCCCAAGATTAGCTTTTCTGGTGGAGCTCCTTTTGAAATCCAATAATGAACTGAAAAATTCTACAAAGCAAACAGTTATTGTACAATAAACTGATGAACATGCCAGTATTTAGGTAGCGATTTTTTATTTGATGTACTCACCGCATTAAAATAGTCGTAAGTATCACCAGGATAATAATACAGCGGGGCCACATGTCCAGTTTGTTTATCCCAGTGTCCGTGAAAGTCGTACGTCATAATACCGATCCAATCGAAATATCTGCTTAAGGTTGGGACGTCATAACCGGCATCTATGACGGCTTTACTCGGCGATACAGCGGAAGATAATATCAGTCCTTTAGATCTGAAGCTAAAGCTTAATTCTCGCACTAGAGCAGCGAAACCTTGTTTGTCTGAAGCAGGGCCTTTTTCACAGTCCACCTAAAACATATTTTGTCATAATCGCCATCTTAACGATGAGTATAAAAGCAAATATGATTAATATCTACTAATTTTTCTAGGACCATTCTCAAAAAAATGATAAATATTGTAATCTAGTTCAAAAGTTTGCCCACATTCTATTTTATACTAATTTAAGAATACAATTTTAAGTAACTATTAGGTACTAGTCCATCGAAATGTTACATTTTTTATGCAATTTATGCGTGCATCTCTTAGAGGACTCATTTTCTCATTTTATTTTTTTGATTTGCTGGGAGCTTAAGCTAAGAAAAGGGGAAAGGGTTTTCGCGCTGTATCTCGTAAACAAGAAACTATACAAAAAATTTCATTAGACATTATTTGTAGCGAATTAAATTGTTTACAACTTTATTTTTATTACTTTTAATTGGAAAATGGAAAATAAAAGAGTTATAAAGAAAAATAACTAAAAATTTTTGAATAAATTTTCTTTTGGGCGTTTTTCTGATAATTTTACAATAAAAGGCCCAAAATAAAAATTTGTAAATATATATATATTTTTTATATAATATTTATATGTATCATCAGGGGTGTAGGGTTGTGTTATAGAGGTAGCACATCTTATCGGAACGACCACATCTAACATGACGAAAATTTCACCGACCTATTGCAGGTATAAGCAATCCCACACTTGCTAATCAACGGCTTTGGGCGGAAGAATTGGCATCCTTTTTGCCCAGGGGTTGAGAAATCGATCTCGAAGGTGGAGGAACCAATATCTTGGTCAACGGCATAAGGATGTAGAAGGCAAGAGAAAATCACTACATTGAAGATCCCCATAGATATCCCTAGTACAACTATCAAGGTTTTAGAAACTAATAACGGTGTTACTGATCCTGGCGCTCGGAAGCCAAGATCCGGCAACAACAAAACTGCCACAGGAAAACCACCACTTAAATAATTGAAATGAGGAGCGTTTAAATACTTTTTACTTATTATTTACTTACTTGCCAACACTTTGGATATTCCCAGTCGAGATCCAGACCGTCAAATCCATACTTTTCTATGAATTCTATGACATTAGCTACAAACCTAGCTCTGGCTTGTGGATTATTTACCAATCTGGAATATTTGTCTCCCAAAGAGTCGTTCCAACCTCCAATCGCTATCAAAACTTTTATCCCTTTGGATTTGTACTCTACGACTTTCTTGTAAAATTCTAAAAGATAAAATATGAAAGTAGAGAGCAAAAAGATCTAAAACTTGAACTAAATTAAAATTAAAATCGTATACATTGAAGATATACATATTTTTTTGAGAGAATAATTGTAAGAAACGTCACCTCGAAAGTTTTTTTATTGATTCAGAAACACTTTGACTTTCGTTAAATCGTCTCAATATTCTCTAATATAACACATTGAGGATTTATTTTCCATTTTTTTGGAAAAACGTATTTTGTATGCTTACCATTATCAATATCAGCCCATGAGTCGTGCGGTTTAATTGTGAGAGAATTGGGATCCAGGACAGCAAACCCGTAATTTATGTGGGTGCACAAATTTGGATCTATATCCGAGGGTAAATACTTGCCATCACCTTGTCTACAAAATATTTATATAAAAATATAACTTAAATGATTAAATCTTCATTTTATGTCTCTTTCTTATTAAACAAATGCTTTTAATGAGGAAACTACTATTACAATCATTTATAAGCAACCGATTAGAACAAGACTTAAAATTAGTTAGTAAGTGAGACCCGACAAATGATGTTATGCAGATGACTCCAACAGGAGGGTCGAAAGCTAACATAGGCAAAATTTTAACCAAAGACTTAAGTAAGTTTATAATAACGTATAATTTAGACAAATGGAGTTTCTTTACACGGAAAAGCGAATTAAAATTAATGAACAATTTGCTATACCCTGATAATTCAATTGCAATAGTAAAAATAGTATTAATTTATTAAAAATACCTACCTATACCACGCCCAGTTGGTAAAATAGCAAATAACTTTATTTCCTTGTCCGCCTAGATCAGTACCACCTGAAGGTGTGTCGATACCATTATCCACAACAGCCGGTTCTTCATCAGGAAGTTCCGGAGAGCTTTCGGTTACCTCGTCAACCGGAGCCAAGGTACTACCGTCCGGGTGGCACTGGGTATTCTCTGGCCAATCGCAATGGTCCACGTTCCAGTACAGACTACTAGGACAGGACTGCAATTGCAACTCTCCTTGATTACATAAATAGTATTGATTGCAGTTGGGATGTGCCACAAAAAGTTGACCTTCGCAAGGCAAAGTTGGCACTAATTCATTGTCCGGTTCTTCAATTATTACTGGTGGTTTGGATGTAGGTTTTTGTACAGAAGGTTTGGTTGTAGGTTTCTGAATCGAGGGTTTTGTGGTAGGTTTTTGTGTTGGGGATAGAGAAGTAGGTTTTTCTGTCTTCTTTCCTAAAATTCGAGTTTGTTAAAATGCGTTTGCAAGTTTCTCAGACAATATTTTTATTAAATGATTGTTTAAGTTTCACAACTTGGTTTTAAATCAATAAATAGAATCCATATTATATAAAACTTTAATGATTTAAGGTTCATATCTTTTAAGGCATGTAAATGTTATTTTTTGCATCTAAAACTTACCTAATACACATTTTGGATCTGGTATTCTATAGTTTCTCAAAACTCTATTGATTGTTCTTAAAAGAGGATACTCCTCACAACCACACAGATTTTTGAAGTCGTCCAGATCCAGAGCCCAAATCATTCCACCACCTAATCCCATGGCACGAATATACTCAGATTTGTGGCGTATCATCCCGATGTCATCGAAAGATACCCACTGGTCTCTGTGGTAAGCGTACGGTCCCATTCTGCCCTTTTGTCCCTTACGATAGTCCAGTCTTTCTGGATAATATTCCTGCAAATCTAAAGAAACGTATTTGTTGATCATCTGCCAAAAAACTATGAACTACCTGATTTATATCTCAATATTTTTACCTCGTAGTAAGCCAGGAAACCTCGGGCTCTAGTTTCTTCTCCAGCTTCTCCACCTCCGTAAGTTGGTACGTTCAGACCATGATTGTTATTATCGCTCAAGGAGAATGATTGTCCGTATGTAGGCATACCCATTACAAGTTTCTTTCTGTCTGCTCCTTTTTCAATCCAATAGTTCATAGTGTAATTCTAAAATAATATATTGAAAAAGTTTTTTATTAATTTTATTTTTATTTATAACAAATGTTGAAATTTTTAAAATATGTGGTTCTTTGTTTAATTTAATATTCGTTTAATATTTAATTTAATACTCGGCTAGCTCAATTATGTGTTCTAAGCAATCTGTCACTGTGTGACGTCGACTCTGTAGTCTCCTGGTAGAGTTCAAAAAGAAATTAAACCAAAACTTACCCTAGACCTTTGATAAATTAACCCAAATGAAGCACGTTATTTATTAATATTGAACAAATTTAATATAAACAATAAAATTCATCTGCAACTTGGGTTGTCTTTAAAAATTTACAAAAAGAGGAATCGTGTAAATCTTAATGTGGTTTAGTGTCGTGACAATAATAATTTATTACAAAATGTGGAGACTCTCTACAAGTACCTAAAAACTAAATAAATATTGCAACTTTATAAAGTATTTAAATGAACTATAAAGAAAAAGAAACTGAACACTTTATTCCGCTGACTTTAAACTTGCATTCAAATATAATCAAAATTTCAAATGATCCCCAAAATTATTATCCAACCTCACTTTAAAACAGTTCTGATTTCTTTAAAGAAAACTAACTACTCGCAAAATAATCGGTGAAACTGGAATATCAATCCTCTCTTCGGAAGTTAAGGTACGTACTATTCTATTTTTAATTTAATGATCATTAATATTTTCAATTTTTAAGGCCTATCGCAATTATGTTAATTCATGAATTTTAATTTTCTCAATTTAAATGACATTTCTGTACTCCAATAATAATTTATAAGTCAAATTGTTTCTCTTACTCTCTGGAACAAATTCTGGATATCTCTGCTGTGGAAACTGTGGAAAAACTAAAATTCTAATTAGACGAGTTAAAAAAACACTCCCGACCTATTCCACAGTTTCAGAGCTCCTCTTCGTCGAAAAATCTTCGTCGGCCTTCTCCAAAAAACCAAATTCTTATCTGTTGCTAACAGCAACCAACGTTCTTTTTCTTTTCGTCTTCTATTTTTTTAAACTATAAAACTGTCCCTGACACATTTGTCAATCCACATTAATTTCTCATAATCACTTTAATCACATCTAATTTGAGAATTTATAAAAAAAATGTTCAGATATAAAACTTATTCTATTACAATACTAATACAATTTATTCTATTACATCTATCTTACCACATCATTGTACTTTCTTATTTAACAAAACCCCTATTAATTTAGCTCCCACAGACTTGCTTGACAGTTTATTTTCTGACGTTTTTTTTTAAATTTCTATGTTTAAATATTTTTTAAGAATTCTTCTTTTTTGTTCTTTTTAAGGTTTAGACGATTCACCTATACACTAGGCAACTATACTATTCAGAAATTATTAACACTATACCAGGTAAGTCAAAATTAATTTTTTTAACAATTTACTAATTTTTTCTCTCTTTTATTTCAGAGTCGAACCCACATTGTGATGGCTTCATGAAAGTCATGAAAAACAAACTCATATAAAAAACCATTTAAGTTGTATTCTTTTTAACATATTGAAATCATTTCAATATGTATAAGTACAAACAATCAAAATACATGAAGACCTAAGTATTTATCAATCTTCTTTAAAATACTTTCTATGAAAAGCAATACTTTTTACATGACTCGGAATGCTTTTCCAAGAGGATATTATTTATTGGCACCATGATTATTTGTGAACTATACCATATTTGCGAAGGGACGATTGTAATCTGATATATTCGAACCAATCGTGGGCTTATGTTGGACTAATCGTGGGTTTATAATTACGAATCGTGCGATATCAATATACAAAACAGTTATGACGCTTACCTCAAAGCTTTAATTACTGGTTTTATTGAATGCAGGTTTTCAAGAGGTTTCCTTCCTGGCACACAGCATTTTTTAACGGCAAAGAAAAATGATGGAGACTATCACGATGATGCATGGATAATATCCATGCCCCAACAGAAGCAGCAGATCAACTAGTAACCGATCAATTCTATGACCAACTACAAGTAGAATGTGAAAACGCACAGAAGAGAGATGCACAAGAGAGAGAGTTCATATCACCCAGGATTATAGTCCTGGGTGATATGAACGCAAAGCTGAGAAAAGAAGCCAATATATGCAGAATCCTTTGGTAAGCATAGTTTACATGATATTACCAGCAACAACAGTATAAGAGTGGCATAGTTGTCAATTTCAAACAAACTAAGAGTTGTTAGTACGTGTTTCCCTCATAAAAATATTCATAAAGGAACATGGATGATACTTGGTACTACTAAATGTAATCAAATTGATCACATATTAATATCTAAGCGGCGGGCAACCTCCGTAACGGATGTTAGAGCTTATAGAGGCGCAAATTGCGATTCGGACCATTTCTTGGTTATATCGAAGATAAAACAAAGAATATCAATGGTAAGAAAAGAGAAAGGCGCCAAACAAAGAAAATAGAACACATATATATGATTAAAAATCCTAAAAAGAAGAATAAGTACCAGTAGAAAATAAAAGTAATATTAAATGAAAGATGAGAACAAAACAACACTGGCACAGATGGAATAAGAGATTTTTTCGAGGATTGCTATTTGAAATTCGAGCTATTAGAAGCAGCGCGTGTTTTTAAAGATCAATACGGTAAATATATTCTTGATGAATATGTTGCACAATGTAATGTTTCTGTTTTAAGGCTTCCTTCGTATCATTACGAATTAAATCCTATAGAAATGATGTGGAACCAATTTAAGCGATATGTATATCCATAATACCACTTTTAAAAACAAGAGGTGCGCCAGTTGATCTACAACGGTTTCATGCGTATAGTAAAGCAAAATTGGCACAATTGTGTTACTCATGTCGCTGAGAAAACGGAAACTGAGATGTTGAACACGGACAACCTGCAAGATGACGTAGACCAATTGATTATACGCGCGAATATAGAAGAGAGCAGTGAAAGCGAATTCGGTATCTTGGATGTAGAGAGCGTTGTTAGTATAATTGAATATTTTTGAGAATCCTCGTATATTCCATAATCAATAAAATGCATTTATCAGACCAATTAGAGTATAAGCTTTTCTGGTATAAGGCTGGATGCCCATTCTCCGTAATTGCAAAATATCATCAGGCACACACTTCATACTTATGAATATACTTGTAAGAATCTGGTTTTTAATAAACGTTTAAAAACTACTGAATATTTTAATAATCCTACACACAATATAAAAAACGCGACGTCCTAAACCTATGAAGATTGTAATTATAAACTTACAGTATTAAATATTTCAGTGCTGTCTTCAGGGTGCTCGTACATAGGAGAAACGTGACCTGTTACTTTGTCCCATTGTCCGTGATAATCGTAACACATAACTGCTATCCAGTCCAAATATTTCGATAATAGTGAAACGTCATAACCTTCGTCGATAACTCGTTTACTGGGCGAAACAGCAGCTGATAGAAGCAAGCCTTTGGGTTGGAAGGCTTCGTACAGTTCTTTCACCAGTTCGGAAAAGGCTTCTTTGTCAGAGGATGGACCTTTGGTGCAGTCCACCTAAGATACAATAAAAAAATATAAGATGCATAGAAAAAAGTGGGCAACAATCATTGAAAATGTATAATGGATTGAGAAGAGGAAATCTTTTACTTACTTGCCAGCATTTTGGATACTCCCAATCTAGATCTAGACCATCAAAGTTGTTTTGCTCTATGAAATCTACAACATGAGTTACGAAGCGTCTTCTTGCCGATGGATTGTTGACCAATCTAGAGTACTTGTCACCAGCGGAATCATTCCACCCGCCTATGGCTATTAATACTTTAATTCCTTTAGCTTTCAAAGCAGTCACTTTTTCGTAGAATTCTAAAAAAAAGGAAATAAATATAAAAACTTGTGTTGCCGACGAAGAAAGCAATAGTAGTAGCTGTAAAAAACTTTACAAGTATGCTCAATCTTCGTTGATATCAATAGTTTCTATATATTTTAGTAGAATAAGATAACTGGTCATACAGAAGGATCTTGAAGATACCTTGGACAGACAAACTCACCAATGAAGAAGTACTGCGGAGGATTTGGTCAACATCGTGAAGGGTCGTAAGCTGCAGTACTTGGGCCATATAATGAGAAATTAAGGCAGATACGAGCTACTTCAATACATTTTACAAGGTAAAATTGAAGGAAAAAGAGCCCCAGGACGAAGAAGAATATCCTGGCTTGCTAACCTGAGAGCATGGTATAGAAAGACCTCAACACAGCTATTTCGTATTTATAGCAACCAACAAAGTCATCATAGCCAGAATGATCGCCAACGTTCGGAACGGACAGGCACCCCAAGAAGAAGAAGATTACTACGAGAATACAAAAGGCCAAACATTTCTTAAAGATCCTGCTCCCTTGAGAGATTTCTCTCTCAAATCTATCTCATTATCACTTGCCTAATATTGTTTCTGTGTTTATTCTATACACATGTTTGGCGTCCCACGTAATACCATTTTCTTTACAAAGGAAACAATTAGATTCTAATAACGATTTCTAATTCATGTAAAATATTCATGCCAAGTATAATACTTTTTTTTGTGGCCACAAAGTGGAGAAGAATAACATGACATGACAGATTTCATATATAGAGCAAAAACATTGTATGTAGAGTACCACAAGGTTCAGAACTGATCTTCCTTATCTTTATAAATGACGTCACTAACTTAAAAATCGATGGAATCATTTTTATTTTTGCTGATGATATCAGTATTTCCTAGAGGAACTCTAATATTGCAACTCTTATGAAATTTCTTTGTATTTTTATAGACAACAACCTTAAATAGTCCCTCCTAATCGATTTGTTCAGTAAAGGCCGTATGACACTATGCATTTTCTTGTATCATTTCTTATATCGTTTCTGATATAACAAAAAAATGGATAGTGTCATACAGGCGTATAGTTTCTTATATCAGAAACGATACAAGAATTTGTGTCCGCTGCATTTTCTTGTACAAGAAATGCGCCAATTTGTGCGCAAAGCCGCTAAAACGTAAAACTTCTTTCATGTCATATTGGCGGATGGAGGCATAGAGAAATAAAAATAATTATTATTTTTATTTCTCTATGGCTGGAGGAGAACTTTGATATATACCAGAGATATGTAAGTATCTCTGATATATACATACAATTAGGCCAAGCAGACATCAGAGAAAAGTGCCCACCAACAATAACCAAGATTAGAACATCAGTAGCCATATTGAAAAACAATAAATCACAGTGATTGTGATGTATCAAATAGCATCGGAACTACTGAAAGTAGGAGGAGATGTTTTACTAAAAACAATACATAACCGCACTAAAAATTCGTGATGAGTTTAAAGATTATTTTATATCTCCAAATAAGAGAGTAGAGTTTCAAGAGCATACCATTCAAACACATAATTTAAAAAAAAAACAAACAAATTATTACAACCAAATTATTTATCATTTCTGTCTTCCATTACAACCTGTTGAATAACTTCAAAAATTTTGGTTTTCAATTTAGTTTTCATATTGGGACATTTTATTTCTTTCATTTTTGCACCACAGTATTTTTAAAAATAATCAGTAGCATATGTTCTCAGTCCCCAGTAGCTTGGGGTCCTCAGGCCCTTGTTCGGTGCCTCAGGTACTGCAGTTCTATTTTTCTAGGTGTCAAAATTTCGACCAATCATGTGCCAAATCACATACAGTTTCTGGTAATAGAACTTGCATAGTGTCATACAGGGCAAAAATGTACGTACAAGAAACGATACAAGAAAACATAAATAACTTTCTATATCAGAAACGATATAAGAAATGATACAAGAAAATGCATAGTGTCATACGGCCTTAAGAAACTAGCCTCAGCCTGATATGCAATAAGATCTGTTTCGAAGGAAATCACTTTAGCATCTTCCAAAATAACTTTTTCTTTTTGTCGATTTTCATCTTCAATATGGCCTTCCTTTTTGAGATTTAGTACAGCTGCCCAATCTGATGATATTTTTAAACTATAAAAGAGCAATACAGTATCTTTTTGGCCTCAGTAGAATAGGACATTGTAGAAGCTACTTCAAAAATCACGGGATTTTAACTCTTCCCTCTTTATATACAGGGTGAGTGGGGAGGAACGCACCAAACTTTAAGACTGTATAATATACGTAAAAATAAGTAAAAATAACTCATACGTTGTTATTCGATTTTCATTTGTTTTCGAGTTATAGCGATAATAACACAAAGTTGTAATTTTACTGCTACTTATCACATTCCTGTAACAGGTATCTGTGATTCGTTTAATAATTAGTTAACTGTCATAATAGTGTAGTGTCAACGTGATTTAATGTCTATTTGACAGTTTGTATAAAAAAAGTTGTTGCAAAATGCCACATACTTGCAAATGGAAACGGTAGAGCTGCTGTTGAAGAATATCGTCAACGGTTTCCAAATCGGAAAACTCCAGATAAAAATGTATTTATTAGAGTTTTCAACAAACTATGCGAGACCGGAACGCTTCCTAGTTATAAAATAATATCGGAACGTGCTCCCCGACAAAGTTTACAAGAAAATACAAAATATTCTGGATTCAGTAGAAGATGATCCAGGGATCAGCCCACGAAGAATCGGTACTCATTTAGCCATTCCTCAAACGAGAGTAATTAACACACTTCACGAGCAAGGTTTATATCCATACCACCTACAACGTGTACAGCACCTACAACCAGAAGATTATGCCAGCCGTATGCAGTTTTGTCGATGGATAAATAATAATCTTCGTGTTATATCCCGCATACTTTTTACCGATGAAGCAACATTCACCAGAGACGGTATTAATAATAGCCGCAACTCACATGTATGGTCAGATGAAAATTCACATGCAACAATTGAAGCTAGTTTTCAGCACAAATTTTTGGTAAACGTGTGGTGTGGTGTGATCGACGGTTATTTAATTGGCCCTTTCATATTTGAGAACCGCCTTACAGGAGAGGAATACTTGAATTTTTTACAGAATGAATTGCCAGGACTCCTACAGAACATTCCACTAAATATCAGAATGCAAATGTATTATCAGCACGATGGAGCTCCTGCACATTTTGCTCGTCAGGTCAGGCAACATTTAAATACAAAATTTCCAAGGCGTTGGATTGGTCGCAATGGTCCTATTAGTTGGCCTCCGAGGTCTCCAGACCTAACACCATTAGACTATTTTTTATGGGGCTGGTTTAAAAATGAAGTTTACAAGGTAAAAGTCGACACTCGCGATGCACTAATTCGACGCATTAAAAATGTTGCAGCCACAATTAGAGCAAACCATGACGCAATCAGAAGAGCAACGTTGAATGTTCATAGACGAAGCAGAAAATGCTTACAGGTCAATGGTGGTATTTTTGAAAATTTATTATAAGAACATTTAACATTAAATTAATGTTAAGTTACAACTTTGTGTTATTATCGCTATAACTCGAAAACAAATGAAAATCGAATAGCAACATATGAGTTATTTTTACTTATTTTTACGTATATTATACAGTCTTAAAGTTTGGTGCGTTCCTCCCCACTCACCCTGTATTTTAGAAACTGTTTGTTTTATTCGTAGACACCTACATGTTTTTCCAGCAAGACCTAATCATGAGTACTCCACCAGAAATTCAAGATTTGATGTGTATTTACCGTTCACTGAGTTAGTATAGAAATCTATATTATATTCAGCAAAAAAATTATACAACCATCTCGCTTTGCAACTTAAATCTATTGACAAAAGCCTATCTAACTAAAACACCATATTATTCGGTGGAAGAGTTTCTTAACGAATAACTAATAAATTACAGTACGTTTAGGTACTATAATGTAATGGGCTTGGATCAGACATGTTACTAGATTGACGGATGATAGATGGACCAGAAAGAATCTGAAATGATGACCAAGATAGGCATATCGACACAGACGACGACCACCGACTAGATTTACGGATTATAATAAAGCGAATCACCACAAATTGAATAGAAGAAGCTTAAGATACAAATTGGTAGAACATTTTACATGGGGCTTACGTTTAACAGTGGACAAACATAGGTTGATTGACGATGTTCTCTGGAAGATCATTCACACTTAACGTATTTTTCTAACCGATTCTTTAAACTTGAAAACATTAAATACTATTAAAGATGTACGTACTGTTATCAAAATCAGCCCAACTGTCATGCGGTTTGATTACCAATTCATCGCCATTCAACACAGCAAATCCATAGACAATGTGGGTACAAAGATCCGGATCAATGTCTTGTGGAAGATATTTTCCTACTCCTTGTCGATACCACGCCCAGTTGGTAAAATAGCAAACAACTTTGTACTCTGACGAAGAATCTACCAGTGGTTGGGAATGAGGCGTGCCTCGTTCTTCTTCTATCACGACAGCTTCTACTGGTCTCACTGCTGGTCTGTATAGATCATCAATGGGTTCTTGTTCACCGGTACCTGGATCAGCTAAAGTGTTTCTGATTATTGTCAGTAGGGGATGTCGTCCTTGTCCACACCTGATAAAAAAAATAAGTAGGAATACTAACACAAATCAACGAAAAAACATTTCTATATACCTGTTTTTGAAATCATCTAGATCCAAGGCCCATATCATACCACCTCCCAAGTCCATGCGTCTAATATATTCAGACTTTTTCCTTATCATTGCTTGATCGTCAAATGAGAGCCACTGATTTCCTTTATACGCGTAGGGACCCATCGCACCTGTGGGATCTTGTACAACGGTATAACCTCTATTTTTAATCATGTCACATATTTCATAGTAGGCTAAAACAAAAAATCGATTAATTTATTTGTATATTGTGACATCAACATTCATTAAATAATAAGGAAACATTTTTATGTCGACTATGTTGATTCAGGAAAAGAAGTGTTTTACCCAAAAATCCTGCAGCTCTGGTGTATTCTCCTGCCTCTCCTGGACCTGGTGCATTTGCATTTAATCCGTGTTCACTTTCTTTCTCCAATCGGAAAGATTGGCCGTACAATGGCATTCCCATTATAAGTTTCCTTCGTGGGACACCCTCTGAGATCCAGTAATGTACAGAAAAGTTCTAGAATCGAAAGAATATTTATATCATTATACATAAGAAAAATAGAGTTGAAACTTACCGAGTTGAAGAATGCCACTTCATCTTCGGGATGATAGAATAACGGAGCGACATGCCCGGTTTTCTTGTCCCATTGTCCGTGGAAATCGTAGGTCATCACGGCGACCCAGTCCAGATTTTCAGCGATAGATGGCACGTCGTATCCAGCGTCGATAACAGTTTTACTCGGTGAAACTGCGGCTGTTAGTAAGTAACCTTTTGGTTTAAATGCTTCTTTGAGCTCCTTCACGAATTCCGCGAAAGCTGGTTTGTCAGAATCGGGACCCTTCTTACAGTCCACCTGAAAATATTTGTAGCTTTTATTTAAATATCTAAGTATTACAATTTCCAAACATAATTACCAGAATTATGTTCAGTAGTGAAAATTATGGAAAATAATAATACAAGCATTGCAACATAATTAACTCTAGAATATTTAGCTAACTGATTTTTGAAATAGATCTACCTAGACCGAACTAGCTAGACTATCAAACCAAATGACTATACAAATGAAAAAGATACTAGATCAACAAGGTTAACCCTTTTTGGCTTAGTGGCTCCACGGTGGAACCACCTTTATAAACACAAATTTTTTCCTACTGCCCGAATAATCATACGTTGGTATTACAAAATTCCAGGAGCAGTTATGCATATTGTACATAATACATTTGATGCGCTCTCAAGCGAATGCCAGTGAGGTTATTTATTGTTGTAAATAAACAAACATTCTTTTACCAATAAAAGGTATGTATTATGTTAATTTGTTGATAACTAGACGTATTTCTGTATTACCGTATTTAGTCTTTATGATCTACGTAAATAACTAAATGAATTTTGATATTTTGATTGGTGGTTCAAATCGATGCCACTAGGCCGATCAGCAACTAATAAGTATATTTTGTTACAGAATTCCAAAATGAAAAGACGTCTTCATTTGAGTAAAATTGAGTATTACACTTGCGCTTTAGTAACCGATATCCCATCGGATGGATCTGACGTATCCGATTTTGATGAGAACGAGGATGAAGATATCGACATGACTTTGGAGTCAGCTGTTTTAGTTGAACAAAACGATATTTCAGACAATAAAGACGGTGCGAATGCCAGTGATGTTAAAGACGAGGTATCAGTTGTTATTCATGATGAGTTAAAATGGAACACTGACTCAAATAATGCCCCTTAACTTCGTCCTTTCTCAGAAAACATTGGGCCAAATGTTCCTGATACTTTAGAGACTCCTCTTGATTTCTTCCTTCATTTGTTTAGTGAGAACCTGATGAATACATTTGTTTTCCAAAACTAATTTTATGTAGTCTAAGAAAATAACAAAAACAACACTCCCACAGCAGTTGAAGAATTAAAGTGTTTTTTGGGAATAAACCGTTTGATGGGTGTGAAAAAGTTGCCCATCTATAGAGATTTATGGTCTGCAAATTTTTTTATCAGGGATAAATTTATTTCTTTATGTATGTCAGATTAAGATGGTTGAGTTTGGATGGTACCTTAGAAAGGTAATGGCAATTATGATAAACTCTACAAAGTGCGGCCATTGCTAGAGGAACTTTCAACTACTTATTAAAGCTCATTTTATCCCAGCATTCATTTTCTAAGCCATTTTACAAACCTGAAAAAATGTCACTGTGAAGAGGAAAGAAAAGGAAGGGACATCAGTAGAAATTAATTGCAAACAATTAGTACAAGATTACCACAAATATATGGGCTTTGTAGATAAGTCTGATATATTAGTATCTTGTTACGAATTGGATAGAAAATCCAAAAAGTGGTGGCATAGATTTTTTTCCCATTCTGTTGACATAACATTACAAAACTCATATATAATTTTCAAACAATCAACAATTGGTACGAGATTGTACGAAAGAATTTAAAATTGCTGTGGCCACCGGAGTTGCAGATTGGAGCAGATCCCCAAATGCCAAAATTTGGAAGAAGAACCATGAACAAACCAAGCACCAGCAACAGGTTGAAAAAACAAGTTCCTCTAGAAATAAGAACTGACAAAGCAGCCCATATGGCTCAGCATGGAGCCAAAGTACGTTTTACATACTACAGTACCAAGACAACTCCTCATCGTACAAGACGACCCTGTACTAGATATAAAGTAGGTTTATGTCTATCTGAAAAAAATTGTTTGATTCCATTTCACGTTAACAAATTTCACATGGTACCACCTTATTTTCTAATAATTATAAAACTAAAATATAAAAAATTTTGATTTGTTTATCTTTTGCCCTAATAAATCCTTCCCCAAAGGGTTAACTTCATGTTATAATAAGATCTACAAACTATACTTATTTGGAAACATTTGAGCTAAATAGTTTGAGCCTAAGCCTACCCAATCTCTATTTTTTAAGCCAGGAGTACTATCTACGCCCTGGTCCGTATATTCGATCTTAAATCTTAGCTTATAAGATAAATTAAAGAAAGTACGTGATCAAGATATGCAGTTTTCCGTTTTTTAATGACTTCAATCAGCTCGTGTTCTCTGCCAATTAGAAGCAAAACTTTGAATTTAGTAGTTAGTCCAAGATATTCGAAACATTATTAGTTATACCCATTATTCAAATGCGTTAAGTCTATTCAGACTAATAACTTTTAGCGTCCACACTTCAATCCCATAAAAAGTGTGGAATGTATGTAGCATTTTCACCACTTTTATCACTGCAGAGGTCTATTTTCCAACTTTTTTGCAATTGACCATTCTACTCTCATTTTATTCAATACTTCTTCCCAAAAGAAATGATTCTTTTTTTTTTGTTTTCTTTGGTTAGAGCATTGTTCCATATTAAACCATTGAGTGTTTTCTTTGTGCTATTTTCATTTCTATATCTTGTATACAAGTATTATCTCAGTTTATCATTGACCCTAAATACTTGATAAATACTTGAAAGTTATAAAAACGTCCATTGTAGTATTAGCCATTTTCAAATTCTTATCACTGATGTAAGTTTGGCTCACATGCTTTGGTTTATTTTTTATAATAGTTTTTCTCAAAACTAGGAATCACTTTGAAAATCCTAAAATTAGCACGCTCAGTTGATGCGCAGCAAAATTACTGGAAATATTTTAGTAAACTCAACCTGTAAGCTACCTGTGTTCCAACCCCCTTTCACCAAATACTTTCTCTGTTCTCTGCGCAGACGGAAAACATTTTGAAAGTCATTCCCGGTCTTTTCGAATTGAATTTTCTTGAACCAAACTGTAATAAAGTAAAAACTATTTTACCTGCCAACACTTTGGATATTCCCAATCCAGATCCAAACCATCAAAGTTGTGTTTTTCCAAGAATTTGAGTACATGCTCAATAAACCGTCTCCTTGCAGCTGGATTATTTACTAGTTTGGAATATTTATCTCCTAAGGAATCATTCCATCCTCCGATAGCAATTGAGACTTTAACACCTTTGGCTTTGTATTCTGTAACTCTCTTGTAAAATTCTGAAAAATAAAAAGTAATTAATTGCACAGAAAATTTCCAACTAGAAATGTAAGATGGAGAGAATTTTTTCAGAGAAGTCAGTTTTTTATTGATGTAATTTATTCATTCATGTTTTTTCTATCTAAACGAAGAAAATTTGAAACTATGTTGACCGGTAATAAGAATATTTATAGTATGTTAAACAATTGGTAAAGCTGTTAAATATAGGTTGGTAGTTAGTGTAGGTTGGCTATTGTGTAATTATGAATTATGTCAACGTCAAGTTTGTAAGACGGATAATGGCAATGCAGATACAGATGTTGCATGTTGATTCCGTTAAAATTAGTAATATATCAATAATGAGTTTATTTAAGTAATTTTTAAGCTAAATATTCAACAAGAGCAACTTACGATTATCAAAATCAGCCCAGGAATCGTGCGCCTTGATAACATAGTTGGAATAATCCAAAACGGCAAATCCATAAACGACGTGAGTGCAGAGGTTCTCGTCTATATCTTCTGGTAAATACTTACCGTAACCATTTCTGTACCAAGCCCAATTTGTGAAGTAACACACCACTTTAAAGTACCCAGACAAAGGTTTAAGAGGCTCTGACAGTGGCGGTTTTTCAGACGTTGGTGGGATTGGAGGGTGCCATTCCCATTCGTTTCTGAAATGTTGCGTCAAATAAAATTCAAACAAAAAAATGCAAATTGGAAAACCTGGTAATAATAAAAAAATATTCTCACGGTGTGAATAAGTTTTTAGAGATAATTATGAAAAACCAAAGGGTTAGTTATTTAGAACGGAAGGAACCACCAACGATTCTTGAAGTTAAAGATGGAGTTAAAAAACGAGCCAGAAACAAATCACCCGGAATAGATAATCTCCCACCTGAACTATATAAAGAGGGTAGCTATGATACCATAATAGCATTTCAGCAGCTTATTAAAGAAATATATAGGACACATACTTTCCTGAACTTTTAAATAATTTAAATCCATCTGGAAGTCTATTACTTGTAGCTCAGGGTTGGAACGACTATTATGTTGCTCAAAAATTTAAACACTAAAAAAGGACTGTGCAACAGATCGTTATAATTGGAATGACATTAAGAACATATGATTTAAGCCATGGTTCTAATGGAAAAATATATTTGGGAAGTATTATTCCTATATTAGATTTGTATCCATTAGAAATAGAGCTACCATTCAAGCTTTGTAGTAATCAGTTTCCTGTTAAGGCAGCTTAACATCTTGTCATAATAACTAATAATCAAGACAAACATAACATGTTCAAGATAAGACATTTCTGTGCGTTAGAATTTATTTTCCAATCCCATATATCTCTTCTTACGAGTATAAATGCTAATATTAAATAAACAAAAGTTACCCATTTGACTCTGAAGGTGTCCATTGTGTGGTACTTGGTGGTGTCCATTCTGGATATTTGGTAGTACTTGGTGGAGACCATTCCGGATATGGAGCGACTGTTGTTGGCTTATGCCATGGTGGAAGAGTACTTTCTTCAGGCTTTGCATTCGGTGCTTCACCTGCATCGATATCGTTAGTTTCGCTTTCTTCTGAACAGTGGGCTGTTTGGGGCCAATCGCAAATTCTCTTTTCCTATAGTTATTTAGTAAAATTAAAGAAAAGTCACACTCAACTTCATCAACTTTTATATTTTAATTTAAAGACTATTAAATAATTTTGTTGAAACATCTGTTGCCCAGGAACTTAACAATTCAACAAAAGTTTTTGAAATTGGCTAAATTGTCGATGTAGAAGTTGACTTCTCAATATGCAGTGGATCGAATTATATTATTCTACTCTAAATATATATATATATATATATATATATATATATATATATATATAAATATATATATATATATATATATATATATATATATATATATATATATATTTATATATATATATATATATATATATATATATATATATATATAATATATATATATAATATATAAAATAGGTGTTATATTGTAATATACTTACGTTATTCCAATGCAATCCAGGTGCACATTGCATAATCTCGTATTTATTCCATTGACAGTGCATAAATTGAGTACAACTTCCTGGTAGCGGCGCAAAAGAATTACCCTCACAACGGCTGTATGGTTGAGGACCTAAATTTTTTTAAATCCTTGAATACTTATAGTTCACAATCAAGAAGAAAGATCAAAATCTACTTACGGTTTGCCAGATATTTATCATGCATCGCAGTATATTTCTCGGCCATCTTTCTCCTATTGGAACATTTCACCTTGAAAGTCCAATCACACATCCCTTTTTCAGCGTGGAAGTTAAGTCCCGGCGGGCAAGTCTGCTCAACCAGGTGGTTATTGAAGCAGACGTAGAACTGATTGCATTGTTCATGGGGATAGTACGCTCCGCTGTCACAAGAAATGTCTGTTGGTGGTTTTACTGAAGCTACGGTTGTACGCCGGGTAGTTGGGGTGGTTTGAGTCTGGCGAGTGGTCTGCCAAGAGGCCGTTGTCGGCTTTTTGGTTGGTTTCTTTGTTGGAGGTTGGCCAGCTAAAATAGTACAATAAAAATAACTTTCTAAACGTCGTATTTTTAAACTATTAAGTATTTTTTGTCTGTTAAGTACCTTCTATAGACTAGTTTTTGTAATATTCTGATTAAACTTTTAAATAACCTGTTTTTTTTTGCTGTCTTTTGAGTATTTTGGTCTTTTGAGTCTAAAAGAGTAAGAAAAGCCTTTAAGTCAAAATTTTAAGCTGCAAAATAATGTCATCTGTTCTAGATCAAATAGAATGTGGCTCTTGACTTGATTCTCTCTAGTCAAATAGTATAAGGCTTGAATGTCTTTTATAGTACTTAAATCTTCTAAGTTTATTTCCCAAGAGTCTCACATTTTACAGCTTAAAAACAATTGTAAAGTTTTTCTTTAGTATCTTTAACTTTTAAGTTATGTATTTAGTTTCTGCATTGCTTTGACTCTCTTCAATCTCCTTAATGATTTATCCGAATCAAATATCTTATGGCTCTTGACTTGACTCTCTTAAATCAACTAGTATAAGGCTCCTGAATCAAGTTTCCTAAATTACTTAAAAGCTATCAAGTTCCTTGTTTTTCTCTAGGTACTTAAGCGTCTTTGGTTTCTTGAACACCTTAAAGCTAACTCTCTGAAATCTCTTGAGCCATTGAAATCACCTTTCAAGTTTCTTGAATATTTTGTCTCTTAATTCCCAAACATTTTAAACTTTAAATACTAAAACTTCTACTTACGATTCGTCTCCATACATTTGGCTTCAGCAGGCCAATCGCATACGTTTTTATTCCTGTTCCAATGTAAACCACCTGCGCAGTATTGCTTCTGTAATTCACCGGCTACACATCTATAGAATGCATTGCAATTCATTGGATCATGCTGGTAATGTCCGGCTTCGCATTTTTTGGCAGTTGGGTCTACTTCCGGTCGTACAACAGCTGGTGGTGGAATGATGACGGAACCTTCCGGTGGTATTACAACGGGTTTTTTGGTTGTAGTCGGTCTGTAATAGTGTTAAAATATTTTTTTATTTGAAACGAAATTACTATTTGTTTATGTTGGTATATTTGACAATTTGTATTTATTTGACTTCTTTTAATTTAAATGTTTAACAATTTAGGAAAAATGATAGATTGGTGGACACTTACTTGGTAGTTGGTTTCGTAGACATCCACCATGCTTGTGTTGTGGTGGGCTTCTTCGTCGTTTTGGTAACAGTTGTAGTCTTCTGCGTGCTCCACCAAGTGTTTGTTGATGAAGGCGTTTCCCACCAAGCAGTCGTAGATGGTGCTTTTGTAGTTGTTGTTACTTTTGTAGTCCACCAAGGAGCAGTGGTTGTTTTCTGCGTTGTACTGGTTTGACCTTCATGATGATGGTGTTCGTTAGAAGCACCTAGTATACAAATAAGGATATTTATGAGGAATATAAGGACTGACTAGTTAAGCAGTTTACAGATCTTGTATTAACACAACGATGAGTACAATAAATATGTATATTGTTTTCCATTCTCTTGAATATTTACTGCAAAAATATTTTTAAATATGTCATATAGTCGTGTTTATATATATTTTATATTTATAAAGTAGAGTTATGTCATTTTACCTGAGTCAATACCAGTGGTGGTTTCAGGTGGAGCTGGAGTTGAAGGTGGCGGCGGCTTCGTACAATCGGTTTGAGTAGGTTTGTCGGCAATTAAACCCAATTCTCTATTGAGGCTTTTTAGAAGTGGAAAAGAACCTTCACAACATCTGTTGTTAAAATCGTCTAGGTCGATAGTCCATGCTACAGCTCCTCCAAAACCTCTGGATTTAATGTAGGCGGCCTAGAAATAATAACTAGTTTAAAGCAACATCCTCTACAAGAAAGAAGCTCAGCAAAGAATTAAAAGGGCAATTTGACGAAACTGGAATGAATTTTATGAAGAAAGAGGAAATAATATAACATTTACTACACTTTAAATAATTAAATTCTTAGGAAAAAAAATAAGTACATAGAGCAATACAAATGGAAGTAGATAGAGACACAATATCAGTGCCTCCATTATTGGTTTCTAGTGACCAATATTGATACAATGTGGAACTAGATCAAAGATGTATTAGTAACAATAACAATAAACAACATCAAACAGGAAAGACAAATAAAACAACCATGGATGACACATCAGATTTTAGAGCTTATGAAGCAAAGAAGAGAGTTTAAGAATAAAGAAGCAGAAAAGTACAAGGAACGCCACAAAAAGGTACTTAAAGAAATAAAATTACCAAAAGAATCCTGACTGTTAGTGAATATATAGAACAACAATGCATAATGCATTGTTTGATAAAGATGAAAACACACTATTCAATACGCAAGAAAAACTGGACAGATGGCAGGAATATATAGCAGAACTGTTCAGTGACAACCGATACATTGAAGTATATGAAAAGAGAATGGACCAACAATAACAAAATCAGAAGTAAGATCTGCTATAAGTAGTCTAAAAAACAACAAAGCGCCAGGATCTGATGGGATATATGCTGAGGTATTGAAATTGATAGAAGACAATCAACTTGACATTATGACAGAATTATTTAACCGTATATATGAAACAGGAACTTTACCAAAAGATTGGTACATGTCCATATTTATACAACTACCAAAAAAAGCAAATACTAAGAAAGTAAAGAAAACCGAATCATTAGCCTCATGAACCACTCACTCAAAATATTCTTAAGTATCATCCATGCTCGCATATACAAGAAATTGGAGGAGGGTATTGCTGATGTACAATTTGGATTTTGCAGCGGTCTTGGCACAAGAGAAGCACTTTTTAGCATACAAGTATTGATACAACAAGCAAGAGATGTTAATACAGATGTCTTTGGCTGTTTCATTGACTTCGAAAAGGTATTTGACAAAGTGCAGCATGAGAGGCTTATTGAAACTTTGCGAATCGCAAACATCGATGACAAGGATGACAAAACAATAGACAATCTCTATAGAAAACAAGTAGCCAAGATTCGAGTAGACAGTCAATTATCCGATGAAGTTCTTAACAAGAGGAGTACGACAAGGTCGTATACTCTCGCCTTTGCTGTTTAATGCGTACTCTGAACATCTATTTCGAGAAGCTTTGGGAGAAACGACTGATGGCGTGATTGTTAACGGTGAAGTAATAAATAATCTAAGATATGCAGACGACACTGTCCTTATTGCGGATAGTTCTAAAGTATTACAAAGGCTGATAGATCAAGTAGTTAACATCGGTAGAAACTATGGAATGAAACTTAGTAATAATAAGACAAAAATTATGATCATAAGCAAAAACCAAGATACAGATGCAAAGTTTATGACAGACAATAAGGTATTGGATAGAACAGAAAAAATAACATAATTAGGATGCAACATTACAGATAGCTGGGATCACTCATACGAGATTAAATGTAGGATCGAAAAAGCAAGGAGTGCCTTCCAACATATGAAGAAAGTTATCCGCAATTTAACCTTGAATTTACATCTCCGACTCAAAATCCTTAATTGTTATGTGTTTTCTGTTCTTATGTATGGAGCAGAGGCATGGACACTCATTGATGCGTCTTGCAGACGGTTGCAGTCTTTTGAGATGTGGTGCTATCGTCGCATGCTCAAAATATCATATATATATCATGTAACTAACGACGCAGTAATGCAACGTTTACAAAAAGAACCTGAAGTCTTTGAATCCATTAAAGAGAGAAAGTTAGCATACTTCGGACATATAGTGGGAAATGAAAATAAATACAGAATCCTACTATTAATATTAGAAGGGAAAATAGAAGGAAATAGAGGACCAGGACGTCGCTGAATATTCTGGCTTAAGAATTTAAGACAGTGGACAGGTACGACCACCACAGACATATTTCGAACAGTTGCTAATAAAATACGATGGGCCATTGTGGCAGCCAACATCCATAGAGGATAGGCACTAGCAGAAGAAGAAGTGATCAATACTACAATAGATAGATACAACACACTAAAACAACAGACATGCATGTTAAGAATAACGCAGATGAGGAAAAATAAAACTGGACGGAATATGCTGTGGAGATTAAAAAAAAAAGATGTAAAACAGCCTCTGATATTAAATATCCAAAAAACAAATCAAACTAATATGCATGCTTGAACAGAATCAATCAAGACATATTAATCAAAGAAAGAGTAAAAAAACAGGTAATAGAATCTAGAAAGTTTGACAAAAAAAGGAGAGATTGAGGAAAAATAGACTAACCAGATCGTATCTATGGAAAGACGCAAAGGAAAATATTTTAAAACGATCGTCTTTTATACTCTTGAAAAAGATGGAGGAATTCGAATTGAAGCTATTTTATTTAGTTTAGAAATGTTATAAAATATTCATAAATTAATAAAAAAGCAAACTTTTATAAAATTTATAAAATTTTATACAATAAATTAACATACCAATATTATCAAAATAACTCCGCATTGCATCTTCTATCAAAATTCAAAAAAACACAAACAAACTGATTGACCGGATAACCTACCTTTTGCTTATATCTACAATTTTGTAGAATTTGTGACTAATTTTTCCGTATCTGAAATTGCGTTTATTTGTTTAAATGAAGGTAATAGGTATTTAATTGCTAATGACTAATTTGGGAAAATATTTGGAAGTTGTGAGACAGCTTGGTTTCTAGTAAATGTAAAGAGATAGGTAAAGAATCCAGTTTAATATAGATTTTTGGGTCAACAAATTTGGTCACTCGGTCACACACACACATACATATATATATATATATATATATAATATATATATATATATATATATATATATATATATATATATATATATATAGTGAAAAAGCGATAAATGTAATCAACGCTGATCAGTTAGACTACAAAACACAACTATTTGGGTGTGCAGCGGAACATAGGACAAAGTCCTCTTTTTAGTCTACCAAGCTTTCGCAAATCCTTATTTGCATCATCAGGGCGCTACAATAAACAAAATGACAAATTACAGAATAGGAATTATTTTGTATCTTACACTAATTGAGATTAGTTATAATGATGTTTATAAAATGATATGGACAAGTCATGTGACTCCTACAAATGATGGCGGAAACTATCCAAAATTGTTTTTGTGTCCTACATGTTGGACACATTTAGAATAAATTAAACCATTCTAACTCAGAACAGAAAAAAACCCATGCCTTGTCAATTATTATAATGACGAAACAACGAAACAACTTACCTTTTCTTTTACAGACATCACATCCTCATATCCTACCCACTGGTCGACATTATAGGCGTATGGTCCAGTTTCCATATTGCTTCTATGTGCTATCCATCGCTGATTCTTAATTCTATTACATATTTCGTAATAGGCTAACAATCCAGGTTGTCTCGTGTACTCTCCTGGCTCTCCTGGTCCGTTACTAGGAGCGCCTTCGGCATACCCGCTTTTTTTCATTAGGCTGAACGATTGGCCGTAGAATGGTATACCTAGGAGAAGTTTTTGGCGAGGAGCTCCTTTGGAAACTAAGTATTCCATTGTGAAGTTCTGTAAAAGTTTATTTGTAAGAGAAACCGAGTAAAAAATATTAAAAGTTTTGTTAAACAAATATACTTCAATGGGGTTTCAAAGCTAATAATGCCAAAATGACATTCTCTTATAAAAAACTGTATTTTTATCATTGAAAAGATGTAATATATTGCTAATTTAACTTATTTTCATATAATAAGTTACCTCTGAGAACGCCTCACTTGGAAAATTATTGTTAGAATTATTGGTTAGAAAATATCAGGTCAAATTCATCTATATTATCAGTTTGTAGTAATAAAAATATCATTTAAATGGTTTCTGACAATAAATAGTCTCATTACTTTATTCAACGTGTCTTGCAATCCCTTTTTTATTCAAATTTGTATCTGTTATAAAAGTGCTCTTAGTCATTGATTAAAAACTACACATGGTATACAGAAACTATAAAAGAAGCCGAGGATGACCACCGACTAGATGGACCGATGATACAAAACGTGTAGCGGGAAACTGGCTACAAGTGGCCCAGTATAGAGGAGTAGGAGTCCAAGAACAAGCAGTGATCAGAAAAAAATTCGACCGAAGAGAATCAGTGGGAAGACAAGCTAGAGAAAGACCAAAACTTAGGTATCAAGAAAATATAGAGGATGATCTAAAATCCATCGGAGTTAAAGCATGGAGAAGGATTACCAGAGACAGGGGTGAATGGAAGATTGTTCTGAAAAGGCTTTGGCTCATAACGAGTTGTAATGTCACTAATGATGATGTCTTATGTCAATCAGTCAGTCATAGTTCTGTTAATAAATCTTTCACTTCTTCTCCCTTTTCTTCTGTTGAAGCGTCTATATATACACATTCTGTCAGATTTTGTTACAAATCCTTTAACCTGCTCCACGTTTATCGCCTCCACTTGTATAAAACGTATATACACTAATCTTTACAATATTGTTTCCAGTCAAATGTATTTCTTATATTGCTATGATGTGTATTTTATATTCCTTAACTTCTTCTAACAGGTTAATTAATGCTCCTTCCTCGTATACTCCTCGTACATTCCATGTCGCAATATGTAGGTACTTAAGCATCCACTGTATTCACTAGATTTGGCCCTTAGTGAGTTCAATTTGTTTTAATACTAAAAAACTAATGCGCGAAAAGCATTTTTCATTAAATGATGAGTTCATAATAGCTGTGAACCGTAAAGTTGAAGCCCTTCCAGATTCTCACTTCAGGAACGGAATTCATAAATTGGAACGTCTTTGGATTAGGTGTGTTGTTGTTTAAAGAGACTATAATGAATAATAAAACGTATTTCAAACCGTAAAATTATGTATTTTTTGTCGAACCACAAACTTATTGAACATAAATGGCATATTAAAAACAATTTTCACTTACCACATTATACTGAGGATATCTATCAACCGCTTTTCCATATAAAGGACTAACATGACCAGTTTGCCCCTCCCACGCTCCATGGTAGTCGTAGGACATTACCGAAAAAAAGTCCAAATTTGCACCTAAAGTTGGAAGATCATATGCCAGATCGATCACTTCTTTATATCCAGATATAGCAGCTGCTAGCACGAGTGGTGGTGACTGTTTGTCAAATTCTTTCCTCAATTCCTAAAATAAAGGAATGCTTAACAATATTTTGTTTAACATAATTGTTTAACATAAATACCTGTATAATTTTAGCAAAATTGGTTTTGTCCGTAGATGGTCCTCGTTTACAATTGCTTTGCCAACAAGTGGGGTAGTTCCAGTCGAAATGTAACCCCCTAAATTTGTGCCTACGTAGAAAACCCACAACTCCAACGACAAATCGTCGCCTAGCGGAACCATCGCTTACCAGTCTTGAATATTTATCACCTGTCGAGTCTGTCCAGCCTCCCAATGAGAGCAGTACGGTGGTGTCCTTCAATGACGTAATTCTTTCATAAAGGTCTGTAAATTTTTACATATTAACGACAAAAATACTATCAGAATTTAAATTGTTTCACTTACTATTGTCCAAATCGGCCCACGGATCAAACTCCTTTACCAGAAGCTTCTCAGGATCCAAACTAGCAAAGGCGTAAACAACGTGAGTACAAAGTCTTTGGTCTATATGCTCTGGTACGAATTTTCCTTCCCCTTTTCTGTAGAAAGCCCAATTGGTGACGTAACAAACAACCTAGAATCATTTTATATTAGTAATCCAGTTATCCAGGACAAAAAGAAGAAGACAAAAGCAAATAACATAAAAAGAATAAGAACTTGAAGAAAAGTGGATGTAAAGAAAAGTCTATAGATTTAAGCAAATAGTAGCTGTATTGGTACTAAAAAACAGTAGGAATTTCGGTGTTTGTTATAGAAAAATGGCCAAAAACAACCTGGAAACATTTAAAACTATCAGCATCGCCAATGGGCGATATTGATAGTTTTGGGATGTAAGAGATTGTGATACGTAATATATGGCCTCTCCTATCAAAATGTCAACCTCACCTGCCCGTGTGATGATCTTCATTCTGATCATCTGGTGCATCCTGCTTTACAACATTCGAGGCTCTGGCGTCCGAATGATTGCCGGTATAAGCAATCCCCCACTTACTGACCAACGGATTCGGGCGGACGAGTTGGTAAGTGGTAGGGCACTTTTTTGTCCTAGAATTGAGAAATTGATTCCAAAGGCGAAAGAACTATAAAGCTATAAAATATTCAACTGCATAAGGATGCAGAAAGCAAAGGAGAACTACTGCATTAAAGGCCTTTTGGCAGTCCTAATTTTAACTATCATGGCTGTAAATAATTTAAGTTAAAACATTAATGATCATGGATCTCGGAACCCAAGATCCGGCAAGAGAATCTCAAGACTGCAGGGCCTCTCAGGACATTAATATGCGAAATCCTTGCAAAATAGCCACATGGAACGTCAGAAGCATGTTTGAGTCAGGTAAAATATATAATGCCATACAAAGAAATAAAAAGAATGCAAATCAGCATCCTCGAAATAAGTGAAATGCGGTGGCCGGGATCAGAAGTATGTGACGTAGATGGATATCAAGTGTACCATGCCGGAAATACTGATGCCAATCACTATAATGGAGTTGCAATCGTAGTAGCAAAATACTTAGCTCAATCAGTATTAACTTATATCCCCATTTCTGACAGTAATTGTAGTGAAATTTAGTTCAAAGCCGTTCATTACCAATGTAATTCGGGTCAATTTTTAAAAGTTTCCTGGATGGAGAAAATTCGAAACTCCACAATACTAGAACGTCTCAGCAAGACTACTGAGATCTTAAAAAGTATCAAGCAAAGAAAGCTGGAGTATTTCGGACATGTAATGAGAGGTCCCATATAAAGGTTGCTACAAAATATCATGCAAGGAAAAACAGCAGGCAAGCGCAGTCCAGGACGAAGAAGAACCTCATGGTTGAAGAACTTGCGAGAGTGGTATGGTGTTGATACAAGCATGCTATTTAGGGTGGCAGTGAATAAAATTAAGATAGCTATGATGGTAACCAACGTTCTGAAAGGACGTGGTACATGAAGAAGAAGAAGTATCGCTAATGCTAGGAAAATACAAAAAAGGATAAAAGAAGTATATATTAGAATAAAACAAAAAATATACTAAAAAACCTGATAGAGGAAAAAAATCATCCGCCTGTTCCAAATATTTCTTATATACCCACACTACTGAGAACTGCCCCACGTTAATAATCTGTAGGAAATGCCAAGGAAAACATACAACAGAAACGGGCACCTCTCCTCTTCCGGAGAATTGACTGTCAAACAATTCCAAAGACCACCAAGTATGGTCACCTAAATGTTCTAACAAATCAACTAAATCTAGTGAAGGAATTCCTAATAAAATGAAATTTCATCAGAAATTACTGGTATAAGAAAAATACATTCACCACTGATATATCATGATCGTAATAATCATGTTCTGTGATAATTTTAAGGGCATTTGGATTACGATTGTTTACATAAAAATTTCCCCACTACGATGTAAAATCGAAATTGATGGGAAAGTAATAAAGCAGGAAGAAAGGTTTAGATATCTAGGAATAGAATAGTAAAAGAGCAAAAGACACAAAGAAATATTTATATCTATTAGAAACAGAAATCCTAGTAAAACCAATAATAATATAAAGAAAATAGTATAATACATTTTGCTTACTTTTGCTCTATCATCTTCCAGATTCTCCTTTATGTGGCCTAAATTAATCTCCTTCAAACTACTGGCCAAAAAGACCGTCTCGCCAGGTCGACACATTTCTGGATTAACATGGTCGCATTTACCGTTTGTCGGGTTGAACATGAGGTTTTGTCCACATGACAAATGATAGATTAGTCCATTCTTGCAGACGTAAAATGCTGCACAATTGGAAGAATCGCTGTAGTATCCTGAGGAGTCGCAGACACCAAATGGTTTAGTGGGTTGTGTATATGCGTCAGTAAGAAATGTCGGATTGACTCCTACAAATAGTATATTAAGTAATTAACTATTTTGGTTATAATTTAATACAGAACAAATCTAATGAACGTTTTAATTTTACCAAACTCTAATGTTACTTTTAACTACATTTAAATACTGACCTTTTATTTCGCTATTAACAAGGGTCATAAGAGGCCATTTTGGTCCACAAAGACCTTTGAAGTCATCAAAATCTGCTGCATTTACTGCTACACCGCCAAGCTTGTGTTCTTTTGCATAATCAACCTTAAATATCAATGTAATTAATTTAAATATTGCTTTACTTTGTATCTAATATAATATTTTGGAAGCAGCCGACCATATCAATACACCTGCTTATAGAAATCAAAAAGTATGTAAAGAAAGACATACTCTTGGATCGAAGCAAGTTGGATGAGATTTTACCAACTAAACAACCATAAACGCAGAAGAACTCATTAAGAAATAGTCACAATGGTACGCCATATCGATATTTAAGAAAGATGAGAGAACTGAGTAAAAATTATCGAGGAACCAGCATTGTATCAGCAATGGAAGAGGATATGAACATATACTGAAAGAAAAAATTGAACCAACAGCAAACAGCAAAATCGGCAAAGATCATTAAGGTATTACAACATCATTAAGGATTCTTGATTGTGGACGCGCTTTCCCCTTACGATGGTTTCTTGACTTGTTTTTTCGGAACTCGTTTTAATCTTCGCATATGACACATATCTGCATAGAAACTGCTACGTTGCAGTATCGGAAAAAATATATGAAGATAACTTAAAACATATAATGGCGTGAACATGGTCCCTGCTTTGGCAAACACTGCCAACAAAATCGACTGCTAACGCTAACTGCTCGAATGTTTAGAATGCACTTAGTCCAAAATGGGCAACGGAGACACCTTATAAAAAGAACGAGTAATGATACCATTATCTGTCTTTATCTTGAAAACTTGGACTACACCATCATTGTCCTGTATAAGTTCAATAACGCGACCTAACTTCTACCTTAATGGAGGTAAATTATCCTCTTTTATTAGCAATAATGCGTTTTCCGCAACTTCACCGTTGGTAGTAGTCCATTTGGTACGTTTTTGTAGTTCGTAGATATATTCTTTATTCCATCGTTCCCAAATATGCTGAGAAAGTTGCTGAAAATCCTGTAATTTTGAGAGCCGATTAACAGGAATATGACGCAAATCTGGATCTGGATTGGTAATAAGTGGTCCTCCGATGGGAAAATGTACAGGAGTTAATGGGGAGAGATCGTTTGAATCGCTGGATAAAAGATGAATCGGTCAAGAATTTATTATAGCTTCAATCTGCACAAGCAATGAATAAAATTCCTCGAACGTCAAGTGCGCCTTTCCCATAACTCTATGTAAATGGTGTTTAACTGTTCTTACCCAGCTTTCCCACAGTCCGCCAAAATGTGGAGAATATGGAGGTATAAAGAACCACGAAATATTCTCTTATCGCGGGAGTGTGCTTCTTTAAAAATTCTCTTAACGCTTTTAACTCTTAACTAGCTGCTGTGAAATTGGTTCCATTATCAGAAACCATCCTTTCAGGCTTGCCTCTTCACGCAATAAATGATTTAAAGGCCAAAAGAAATGATTCTTTAGACAGTTACGTAACTTATTCCAAACGTACAAAAACAAATAAAAAAACACACAACTCTTTATCAGTTTACAACGTCGACATTTCTATTGCGAATTAAGAAAGGGCATAATCTACAGCTGTTACAATAAACGGTGGCCAACCTTCGAGACGCTGGGCAGGTAGGTCTCCCATTATTGGCAGAGTGAATTTAGATTTTAAACGAAAACAGTTTACACATTTGTGTATGATACGTCTTGCCAAATTTGGTCGAGCCATTTGAATACTATTTAATGAAATGCTGTTTATAATTGGTGCACTACAAACGAACACAATACACAAGTGTGTCGTCAAAGAACTCTCCTTTAATACTGGATGATGTGGCATAAAATAAAATGTAGTATTTCCACTAAAATCTGTTGCCGCTTCTGTAATTCTGCCCAAACTTTTCATATATGTCCTAACTCTTTATATTCCTGGATGAATTCGCTATAAAGAGTTTTAAGATTGTCATCTTTATTCAAATTGCGCTCAAGATTTAAAAACCTACATTTCGCTTGTCCAAATGAATCACCGAGTGAACTTATCGGTTCCTTGAATGGCAATGACACTATGAATTTGACCGTCGCTTCGCGTTTTATCGTATCCTTGAAAAGTTTTTTATATACAATTTCTTCGCCCGAGAGTGCAGATTTTTCATTGAAAACCTCTTCAAGATCCCAGAACTTACTTAGCTGTTCTGGAACTGAAATAGTGTTCATAAAATTACACAGTCATTCGCTTTTCTGATGCATTGTTTTGGCTAGTCTACGACCCTGCTATGATCCAGCCGAACATTGTTTCTTGCATGAACGGTTTATTTTTACCAAAACTAATTCTGTTTGCACCAAGTATTTGCCAGAATAGATCACTTCGCAAATCGCTAACGTTTATTTCAGATTCCGATACGCACCCCGTAATTTCTAACGAACGAAATGGACAACTAAAAAAAGTCGCTTTGACGAAAGAAAGAGTGGAAAAAATAGAAAGTGGAAAATGAGTAAAAATATGGTAGTACAAGGACTCACAATAAAAAATAATGTACAAAATAAAGGACAAGAGACCCTCCTTTAGAGACCAGAACTGCGAAAGTTTGAAATACAGAAATAATTTTCATTAGTATCTAAATAAACTTATTAAAAGCATGTAAGAAAACATATCCAGCAGACGAATATCAATAATCCTAATAAACCATATTTACCTTCCTCTTAATACTATCAAGATCATCATATCCAACCCACTGATCCCCATTTACCATATACGGAGACCCAGAGGCATCCTCACTTTTAAACCATCCTTCATTCAGGAACATTTCACATATTTCAAAATATGCCAACAATCCTGGAGTTTTAGTATAAAATCCTTCTCTTCCTGGTCCAATAATCGGCGAGCCAATTTCGGTTTCGTTAGAGTATTTTAACGTGAAGGATCTTCCGAATAACGGAATTCCCAAAATCAGTTTTGAGCTAGGAAGACCTTTTCGTAGCCAAAATTGCACTGCGTAGTCCTGCAAAAAATAAAACAATTAAGTTTTGTTAATTAAATAAGGATTTTGCCAAAAATGTGAAGCATTTATGTTTCTTTGAATGAATATACTACACTTAAGCTATAGCTGAAATATCTAGATAAAATATTTAATCAAATGACCGAAGAAAATGAATTTAATTAAATGAAAAACATTAATAAAAAAAGGGCTTTTTCTTCTTTCTTATATATGGGCTGCTAAGGTATGTTTCTTCTGCGAGCTCAGCATTATCTAAATATCATACTAACTGTTTCTTGATCTCAAATTACTTTCTCCCCCAATATCAACTAAAGTGTGGTTAACGGGGGGAATTAACCCATTTTAGAGAAAGCTCTGAACTATGCCATATTAGCATTAAAAGTCACCAAAAGCAAAATATGTGCTTACCACACTTAAAAATATATTTAGTCCACTATCCTCAGGTCTGGCGAACAAATTGGCCGGATGATCCGCTACTGCTTCTCTCTCCAAGTGGAAGTCATACGCTTGTACATTCACAAAATCGACAATGTCTCCAACTTTCATAGGGTCAAATCCATCCTCTATTTTAAACCTCGATGCTGGTGCGGAAAGGACCAATTCCCACTTTTTCTGCTTGAAAACTTCGGCAGTCTCTTCCAAAAATAGTGCTAAAAACAATTCATATTCTTTCATTATGTATATTCTCAGCAAGGAAGCTCAAAACGAAGCAAGACTGGATAAAAAAGATATTATTAATATTTTATTACAATACCAATTCAATAAAAATAGGCTAGTTTCTGTATTATAACGAAAATAGTGAACATACCCAAAAATTCTTTGTCCGTTATTTGTCCTCCAGACTCTTCAGCTCCTGGATATTCCCAATGTACTTCCATGCCGTCAAAATCGTATTTAGTGAGGAATGAGATCGCAGACTGAATAAAGTTCATGCGTTTCCTGGCATTGGATACCATAGTACTGAAACGATGGGAACCATCCTCCTTACTGCCTCCAAGTGAAATGAGAATCTTCAGATTGGGGTTCTTTTGGCGTAGGCTTGTAGTTGCTTTGTATCCGCCTAAAATATTATACATATCTTCGATTAAATAAATCAACCTATTATAAAATTGTTATTGTAAACATTTTCATATTAAATATGTTCAATATGGCGTGGTTTCACTTATTTCATGTATCACAAATGAACGCTGGAACTATGAAACATTTCTAGTAGGTATATAAGGATCTTTGTATACCAAAATTGTTTAAAATGTAAAAGGACTGAAAATGTAGGCATAGATGTAGAGTATTGAAGAGATATTCGAAGCCGAAGAGATTCCACTAGTAATAAAATACGGGAAGAAATACATAGGCACTTGAGTAACAGAACAGTACAATCGACACAAACTCCCGAGGAAAAATGGCACTATATTGAGAAAACACTTACAAGAGTAACAGAAGACTACCTCAAATAAGATAGACGAAAGAAGAAAATACAGAGGTAAAAATGAAACAACATACAAGCAAATACACAAGAATATCAGAATAAAGATCCGACAAGCCAAAGAAACCTGGCTAAGTGAAAGATGCCAAGAAATTGAAGAGTTGGAACAAAGACATGATACTTTCAATCTACATAAAAAAGTAAAAGAAGCCACTGGAATATTTAAACAAACTCCTACGTCTTTCATCGAAGATAAACATGGGAACTCGCTACTGAACATAGAAGATCAAATAGGTAGATGGAGAGAATACGTGGAAGAGATGTTTCAAGACCGAGAGAGGACGAACATTTACATGCAGGAGGCATCGACTGGACCTTATATCACAAAGCAAGAAATTATCAAAGCGGCAAATCAGTTAAAGAACGGAAAAGCTGTTGGGAAAGATAATATCCCAATTGAAATAATAAAGATATTACTAGACGAACACATCGAAGTAATGGAAGATATATTTAACAAAATATACGAAACAGGCATAATACCAAATGATTGGCTGACATCGGTGTTTATACCACTACCAAACAAGAGAAACTCCAAGAAATGTGAAGACCATAGGATTATTAGCCTGATGAATTATATGTTGAAGCTTTTCCTACGAGTAATACACAATAGAGTATACAATAAACTAGACGAACACACTGGTCAAACTCAGTTTGGTTTTAAGAATGGGTTCGGAACAAGAGAAGCACTTTTTTCAATACGTGTGCTAGTTGAAAGATGTAGAGATGTCGACTCTGATGTATCCTTGTGTTTTATAGACTTTCAGAAGGCGTTTGACCTGGTGAAACATGATAAACTAATAGATATTTTATGGTTATGTAATATCGACGATAAAGACTTAAGGATCATTTCAAACCTCTACCAAGAACAAAAGGCTAAAATCAGAATAAAAAGCGAAACATCTGGAAAAATCAATATCGAGAAGGAAGTAAGACAAGGATGTGTCCTGTTGATGTGTTGTGTTTGCTGTTCAATGTTTACTCTGAGAAGATATTTCAGAAAGCTTTGGAAGGCAGCTCGGATGGTATAATTATAAACGGGCAATGTATAAATAACCTGCAATATGCTGAAGCCCTGCAACGCTTAATGGACCGAGTAACGACAGCCTGTAGAGAATTTGGAATGAAATTGAATACAAAGAAGACAAAAACGATGGTCATCAGCAAGTACCAAAACAGAAGGGTGAAGGTCAATGTCGACGGAACATATCTGGAAAGAGTAACAAGAACAACGTACCTTGGAAGTAATCTTGATGAAACTTGGGACCACTCACTAGAGATAAGAATACGCCTGGAAAAGGCACGTACAATGTTTTACAAAATGCAAAAAGTTCTATGCAACCGCCAGCTGGGCATCTCATTGAGAACTAGAATACTTAAGTGCTGTGTTTTCTCCACCTTGCTCTATGGTGTTAAAGCCTGGACAATGACGGAAGCAACAGAAAAAAGAATCCAAGCATTCGAACTCTAGTGTTACCGTAAAATGCTCAGAATATCCTACATGAGCCATACGACAAATGCGGAAGTCTTGCGGAGGATGAATAAGGGAAGAGAGCTTATGCTTATAATAAAAGAACAGAAAAATATTTTGGTCACATCATAAGAAATCAAAAGTATGAACTGCTCCAACTTATAATCGAAGGCAAAGTCAATAGCAAAAGAGGACCAGGAAGAAGACGCAACTCTTGGCTTAAAAACCTACGGCAATGGACGAACATGACCTCCATAGAACTATTCAGGGCTGCTACAAATAAGATTAAATGGGCAAATGTAATGGCTAACGTCCTTAAGGATAAGGCACCGTAAGAAGAAGATTGAAGAGATAATCTAAGATAAGATAATCTTATACACCTCAGTTTGCTGATAACCATGCAATCAGTTAACGATACGGATCGTCTAAGACAGCTTCCCAAAGTTTTTCTTTTTCAAGGAGCACTATTTAGGACAGAAACTCTGTATGCAGCACTCACCATATTGCACCTGAAACCTATATAGGTGCGACAGAGAACGAGAGATATTATTTGGGGAAGGGGGAATTAAACATTACATTCTCTATTCACTTTATTAATTTTTTTTTTCCAATCGCAAACATACGAAAAACAAAAATAAAGTTAACACACAGATCCTATTTCTAAAATCTTAAAAAACGTAATGTTTTCGCTTGAATTTGAAAAATGAGGCTGGCTTGATTTGCACAGGTTAGTAATATTCGGTTGAATTTCGAATAACTGCAATTGAATGTCAGGTTTTGCATTCAGTCGGGATCTATATTTTGTTTTAGTGAATACATAGGCAGAGCATCATCTCAACAACAAATAAATGAAGCAGTTGCACCAGCATTCGCAGAGGACGTCAAAAAAAGATATTAATAGTGCCTGAAACGAAATGAAATCGGCAGTACTTAACGCTGGTAAAACGTTTGTGGACAAAAAAGAACCAATTGCCAAAAAAGACTGGATGACACCATATATTATAAACCTTATAGAAGAAAAACGAAAATACAAAAATACAAATAAAGAGAAGTACAAGCAAATGAAGAAACTAGTAGAAACGCAGATCAAGGAAGCTAAAGAACACTGGATGGTAGAAAATTGTAGAGAAATAGAAGAACTTAATATGAAACACGACACACATGGGCTACATAAGAAACTGAAACTCCAAGGGGGATCTCCAATTATCAGCAGTAGAAAAACAACAAACTTGGGAGAAATACATCAAGGACTTATTCGCAGATAAGGATAGGATCGCAGATAGGAGAAATAAATGATACATTACCAACTAATGAAAATCTAAAAATTCTGTTATCAGATGTTAAACAGGAAATTAAAATCTCAAAAAGTAGTAAAGCGCCAGGTTCCGATGAAATTCCTGTAGAGATATTAAAAATCCTGAATGATGAAAATATAGAGTGTCTAACTAAAATATTTAATAAAATATACCACGATGGTCAAATCCCGGATGAATGGTTAAAATCTATCTTTTTACCCTTACCCAAGAAAAATAATCCTAAATCTTGCGATGAGTACCGATTAATTAGCCTTATGAGCCACACTTTAAAAATACTACTCAAAGTTATTCAGCAGCGTATATATAAAAAATGTGAAGAACAATTAGACAATACACAGTTTGGATTTAGATGTGGAATGGGAACACGAGAGGCACTGTGCGCAATGACGGTACTATTACAAAAATGCAGGGAATATAATAAAAACGTATTCATATGTTATATAGATTTCCAAAAAGCTTTTGATAGAGTCCAACATGGTAAACTCATACATGCATTGAAACACATACACCTAGATCCCAAGGATATTAATTTAATCAAAAATCTGTACTACAATCAAACAGCGGTCGTACGGGTGGAAGATAGTGAGACAAACCAGGTGGAAATTCAAAGAGGAGTCAGACAGGGATGTGTGCTGTCGCCACAATTATTTAATGTGTACTCCCAACTAATATTTCAGGAGGCACTATGGGAAAGAACTGAAGGTGTAAGGATTGGAGGAAGCATCATTAATAACATAAGATTTGCAGACGATACCGCAATCATGGCAGAGAATAAGACTTACAAACTCTCCTGGAAATCATTAACAGAGAAAGCAAAAAGATGGGACTAACAATGAATATAAATAAAACCAAATACATGGTGATCTCAAAAAACCCTGTTGACAACATACAACTGACATTGGAGGGTAAACCCCTAGAGAGAGTCGACAAATATAAATACCTCGGAAGCAATTATAAACTCACAGTTAGATCAAGAGCAGAAGATAAAGGTCAGAATAGAAATAGCTCAAAAATGCTTTATGAAATACAAGTCAATGTTTACAAATAAGAAATTGAGTATGGCGATCAGATTGAGGTTCGTCGAATGTTATGTTTGGTCGCAACTACTATATGGGGTAGAAGCTTGGACTCTGAAAGCCCAATCTATAAAAAAATTGGAGGCATTCGAAATGTGGCTATATAGGCGTATTTTGAAGATTCCTTGGACTGCAAAAAGTCTCAAATGAGGAAGTGTTAAGACGAGTTGGACATGGCAGAAAGCTTATGAACACAATTAAAATAAGAAAAACATCGTATCTGGGCCACATACTCCGAAACGATAAATACTCTCTGCTACAAGTCATAATGCAAGGTAGAGTAGAGGGAAGAAAAGGCTTGGGAAGAAAGAAGAAATCTTGGCTGAGGAATATCAGAGATTGGACTAACCTCAGTGTTGAACAGATATTTCACGTTGCAAAAGATCGAGAAGCGTTTAAAGAAGTGATCGCCAACCTTCGTTAGAAGACGGCACAAGAAGAAGAAGAAGGCAGAGCATGCTGCTTTACCTAAGTATATTGTTGTAAAAGACAGAAGAAGAATTTTCGCTTTATCTGACAAAATTTTAAATTCGTCTTTGAGTTGACACCAAAAATATACTAGAGATTTACTTTCAAAATGTTTTTTTATCGGAGAATCCGATGTCAAATCTATCAGGCATTCATAGTCCTGAGATGTTAGGGGGCTGGTGTTTATTAACATTGCAAGGTATGATAACTTCTGCAGCCCAGAAAAAGTTTTTGACTTATCTTCGTTCTCTTTTAATTATCCTAGAGCTATTGTCATAATTATAAGA